TGCTATTGGCTATAAGTGCAAAAGGTGGAACAGATTTACTATTGGGCAGCACAGTGGCTAAATGGTTAGCACTTCCACCTAGCAGCACTCAGGTCGTTGGTTCGAATCCCAACCATGACACTACCTGCCGGGATTTACCTGTTCTCCCTGTGCCTGCGTGGTAGGTAAATTGTCTCCTGTCTAAATTGGCCCTAGTATGTGTATGTATGAATGTGAGTTAGGGACCTTAGATTGTACGCCCCTTGAGGGTTAGGGACTGATGTGAATGTATAATATATATATGTAAAGTGCTGCGTACATTGACGGCGCTATACAAGTACCTGTAAGAATGGTTTTATTTACATTAATACATACATTCATAGTAGATAACATATTTATAGTCCTATAAATGGCAAAATTGTTCCCAATATTTCTTTTTATAACATTAAAATTATCTTTTTATTTTGTGTTGATGTTAAAAAATTTGCATTTTAAAATGGTGTTTAATAGTTAGCCTTATGTAATAAAAACTCATGTGGCATCTCCAAACAGGCCCTGCGCATAGCCTTATAGTGGAGGACTTCACCATATTTTGGGCTTGATAAAAGTATTTCACCCTGGTGACAGAACACTAACCCAGGAAATGGAAGAACTCTACACTCTGCTGCAGGACCCCATACTAGGACCTTGGCCGTTCCAGCATCTTCTTGCTGATCCCAGCATTCCTGGATGCCATGCCCAGTGCCCTACCAAGGCAAGAGGGCTCCTGGATTCTGCACTGGGAAATTTTATACCATTTTCAATGGAGTTTATGTTAAATAAAGTAGCTTTGGTGCACTAGGTCAGTGCACTCTTGCTGGTTTGGACTTTAACCCAGTGGAACCACGTTTAAAAGAGAAGTTCAGGCATATTACAAAAAAACAAACCACACAACACAAGCAAACAAACCAACCCAAACACCACAAAGGTCACAGGAGTATAGAATGAATTGCACACTTGTGATTCATAGAAGAAGTATGGCCAAAATAGCTTTGGTCATACTTCTTTATTGTACAGACTGCAGCCTATCAACTCACAACAAAATACTTATCACACATAATGACGACCCACAAGTTTAGTAAACCGTGTCAACCAAAGTCACATTTGCCCTTAGTCATATCGAATTACAAGAGGATATCTGCTGCTATGAATTACTGGCTCACAACTAATCATTCCTGCATCAATGATAAAGTAGGCTCAAAGAATTATTTAGGCTAAAATATTAGTGAAATTGAGATTTAGAAAAAAAAAAAAAAAAAAAAAGTACTTAAAAGTGGTTGATTACGTATGCCCAGTGAAGAGACTGATACACAGATACACTAGATTGCCAAAAGTATTGGTCGGCCTGCCTTTACACACACATACAAACTTTAATGGCCTCCCAGTCTTAGCCCGTAGGGTTCAATATTGAGTTGGCCCCGCCCTTTACAGTTATAACAGCTTCAGCTCTTCTGGGAAGGCCGTCCACAAGGTTTAGGAGGGTGTCCATGGAAATGTTTGACCATTATGGCAGAAGCACATTTGTGAGGTCAGGCACTGATGTCGGACAAGAAGGCCTGGCTCACAGTCTCTGCTTCAATTCATCCCAAATGTGTTCTATGGGTTTGAGGTGCAGGCCAGTCAAGTTCCTCCGCCCCAAACTCACTCATCCAAGTCTTTATGGACCTTGCTTTGTGCACTGGAATGCAGTCATGTTGGAACAGGAAATTGTTCCCACAAAGTTGGGAGCATGAAATTGACCGAATTCTCTTGGTTTGCTGATGCTTTAAGGAGTTCCCTTCACTGGAACTAAGGAGCCAAGCCCAACCCCTGAAAAAAAAAACAAAACAAAAAAAAAAAAAAAAACTCCACACCATAATCCCCCCTCCACCAAAAACTTTACACTTGGCACAATGCAGTCAGGCAAGTACCGTTCTCCTGGCAACTGCTAAACCCAGACAGGTCCATCAGATTGCTAGACAGAGAAGTGTGATTGATCACTCCAGAGAACACATCTCCACTGCTCTAGAGTCTAGTGGCGGAGTGCTTTACACCACGGCATCCGACTCTTTGCATTGCACTTGGTGATGTAAGGCTTGGATGCAGCTGCTTGGCCATGGAAACCCATTCCATGAAGCGCTCTATGCACTGTTGTGCTAATCTGAAGGCCACATGAAGTTTGGAGGTCTTTAGCTTTTGACTGTGCACTGACCCCGCTCTGTTATTGTACGTGACCTATCACTTAGTGTCTGAGTTGCTGTTCCCAGTTGCTTCCACTTTTTAGAACACCACTAACAGTTGGCTGTGGAATATTTAGTAACAAGGAAATTTCAGGGATGGACTTACTGGACAGTGGCAACCTATCACGGGACCACGCTTGAATTCACTGAGCTCCTGAGAGCGACCCATTCTTTCACAAATTGTTTGTAGAAGCAGTCTGCATGCCTAGGTGCTTGATTTTATAACATCTGTGGCCATGGAGGTGTGATTGGAACACCTGAATCCAAGGATTTGGAGGGGTGTGTCCCAATATTTTTGGCAATCTAGTGTATGAAACAAATCCTCCTAAATACAGCCCTGGCCAAAAGTTTTGAGAATGACACAAATATTAAATTTTCGCAAAGTCTGCTGCTTCAGTGTTTGTATCTTTTTGTCAGATGTTACTATGGTATACTGAAGTATAATTACAGGCGATTCATAAGTGTCAAAGGCTTTTATTGACAATTACATTAAGCTTATGCAAAGAGTCAATATTTGCAGTGTTGACTCTTCTTCCAAGACCTCTGCAGTCTACCCTGGCATGCTGTCACTCAACTTCTGGGCCACATCCTGAAAGATGGCAGCCCATTCTTGCAAAATCAGTACTTGAGTTGGTCAGAATTTGTGAGGGAGATTTTTTGCTCACTCACCTCTTAAGGATTGACCGCAAGTTCTCAATGGGATTAACCTCTTGCCGACCGCGCATAGCCGAATGACGGCTTCACCGCGGCCGGCCAGTTCTGGGTGGACGTCATATGACGTCCTCCCAGAACGCGCTCTCCTGCGCGCCCCAGGGGGCGTGCACCCGGCGATCTCCGTGATCGCTGTGTCCTACGGACACAGCTGATCACGTGATGTGGTAAAAGGCCAATCACAGCGGCCTTTTACCACGTGATTAGCGGTGTCCAATGACACGGTGATCACAGGGAAATGCAAGTGCCGGTTCTCGGCTGCACTTTCCTCACGCTGTCAGATCGTGAGGAAAGTACTGCCGAACACCGGCAGTTGTCAGAGCGGGGATCGGCACCGATCATCAGTGCCCTGATGATCGGTGCCCAGCAGTGACACCCGCAAGTTCTGCCCAGCAGTGCGCCCACTAGCTCTGCCCACCCGTGCCCAGCAGTGCACCCACCTGTGCCCAGCAGTGCCCCCACCTGTGCCACTCTGCAGTGCCACCTACCTGTGCCCAGAAGTGCCACCTACCTGTGCTCAGCAGTGCCACCCACCTGTGCCCACCCACCTGTGCCCACCAGTGCCACCCACCTGTGCCCACCCACCAGTGCCCACCCACCAGTGCTGCCAGTCAGTGCCACCAGTCAGTGCCACCAGTCAGTGCCCAGGGGTTGTGCCAGTCAGTGCCGCCAGTCAGTGCCCAGCAGTGATGCCAGTCAGTGCCGTCTATCAGTACCCATAATCAGTGTCACCTATCAGTGCTGCATATCAGTGCCGCCTATCCGTGACCCCTAATTAGTGCTGTCTATCAGTGCCGCCTATCCGTGCCACCTCATTAGTACTGCCTATCAGTGCCCTTTAGTGTTGCCTATCAGTGCCGCCTATCAGTGCCCATCAGTGCTGCCTCATCAACGCACATCAGTGAAGGAGAAAAAATACCTGTTTGAAAAATTTTATAAAAGAAACAAATAAACTTTTTTTTTTTTTTTTTTTTTTAATTTTTTGCACTTTTTTTATTTATAGCGCAAAAAGTAAAGCGCCCAGTGGCGATTAAATACCACCAAAAGAAAGCTCTATTTGTGAGAAAAAATGATCAAAATTTCATATGGGTACAATGTTGCATGACCACGCAATTGTCAAAGTGCGGCAGCGCTGAAAGCTGAAAATTGGCCTGGTAAGGAAGGGGGTATAAGTGCCTGGTAGGCAAGTGGTTAAGGTCTGGGGAGTTGCCTGGCCATGGACCCAACATTTTGAGGTTTTCTTCCCCAGGCTAATTAGTGATCACTTTGGCCTTATGGCAAGGTGCTCCATCATGCTGGAAAAGGCATTGTCACCAAATTGTTCTTAGATGGTTCGGAGAAGTTGCCTTCGGAGGATGTTTTTGTACCATTCTTTATTCATAGCTGTGTTCTTAGGAAAAATTGTGACTGGGCCCACTCCCTTGGCTGAGAAGCAACACCACACATGAATGGTCTCAGGATGCTTTACTGTTTGCATGACACAGGACTGATGGTAGTGCCCACCTTTTCTTCTATGGACAAGGTTTTGTCCGGATGCCCCAACAATTCGGAAAGGGGATTCATCAGAGAAAATGACTTTACCCCAGTCCTCAGCAGTCCAATCCCTGTACCTTTTCAGAATATCAGCATGAAAACGGCTTTTAAAGTATATTTATGCAGCATAAAAAAACGAGCATCAAAGGATGATGAGCACATGAGCTGTAATGTTTTGAGGGAGAGCGAAATTCCTTTTCTTAACGACTATATATATATTCATTTCAGGTACTTATATAGCGTTGTCAATTTATGCACACCAGTCCCTGCCCTCAAAGAGCTTACAATCTAAGGTCCCTAACTCACATTCATACATACACAAACTAGGGCCAATTTGGACAGGAGCCAATTAACCTACCCACATGTCATGGAGTGTGGGAAGAAACCCACACAGGCACAGGGAGAACACCAAGGAGGTAGTGCCGTGGTTGGGATACGAATCAACAACCCTAGTGCTGTTAGCTGAAGTGCTAACCACTTAGCCACTGTGCTGCCCCAAGTATTAAAAAGAATACTTACTTTCTGGAACTCCTCTGCTTGTTTGGAGGTTTGAGCCTGGGTAAAATTCTGCTGGAAGGCCTGAAGATTAAACAGCATGTGTTTTAGAGCCTCTACTGGACCATGATGATTTCCGCCTGAGAATGAGCTGGCCTGAGAAATAAGAAAAAAAACATTTTAAGCAAAGTCCCATCTCAAGTGCTGACAAGGGTTTTTACTTTCTAAAAAGGAAAAGAACAGTGAGCGCTGGTCCTAAACAGCAGCTAAGCAACCGATATATACTTATACAGAATACCATAAAAAACAGTGCAGCGCTGAAGGTAGTAATGATAAAACACAAATAAGTCCACTGCAAGTCCAGTTCATAGAAACAGGTCAGGTGACAAGTAGAAATTCAATGTTGGTGATCCGTGAGGAAGTGGCTGAAAAACGCACTCACCAGAAAGAAGAAATATATAAGCAGTATATATCCAAAGCCCATGGATCCTCAATCCAGAAGGAACAAAGCTGGTCTGGTCACAAAGTGGGTCCCTCCTTTATGGGGGTGCTGTGAAGAGGCTCTGCAGCTTACGCATGTGTTTGCAAATGTGTACAAACTAAACCCCTGTTTTTAAATGCAAACTGTTAGGACAGTTTGGTTGGTAGCAGGCTAGTCGACCATCAACCTATGGTATGGGACTGCAAACTCTATGAGGAAAGAGTTGACATCATGGATCATCGTATGTACTTTTCCTAAAGCACCACTGAAGGTTCCTGTATAACAGTCTAAAAAAGTACTAAATTGTAACTTTGTGATACACAAACCTAATAAAAAGGTGCATGTGATCAGCACAGGGCCAATCAGCACTGTCCAGAGGGTCAGAGGTTTCACATCCTCCTAGAGCAGTGGTTCTCAACCTTTCTAATGCCGCGACCCCTTAATACAGTTCCTCACGTTGTGGTGACCCCCAACCATAAAATTATTTTCGTTGCTACTTCATAACTGTAATTTTGCAGTAGGAGGAATAGTGCCACGTCATTGGTGTCATTGGGAGGAATAGTGCCCCGTCATTGGTGTCAGTGGGAGGAATAGTGCCCCGTCATTGGTGTCAGTGGAAGGAATAGTGCCCCCTTCATTGGTGTCAGTGGGAGGAATTGTGCCCCCTTCATTGGTGTCAGTGGGAGGAATAGTGCCCCCTTCATTGGTGTCAGTGGGAGGAATAGTGCCCCGTCATTGGTGTCAGTGGGAGGAATAGTGCCCCCTTCATTGGTGTCAGTGGGAGGAATAGTGCCCCCTTCATTGGTGTCAGTGGGAGGAATAGTGCCCCCTTCATTGGTGTCAGTGGGAGGAATAGTGCCCCGTCATTGGTGTCAGTGGGAGGAATAGTGCCCCGTCATTGGTGTCAGTGGGAGGAATAGTGCCCCGTCATTGGTGTCACTGGGAGGGAATAGTGCCTCGTCATTGGTGTCAGTGGGGGGGAATAGTGCCCCGTCATTGGTGTCACTGGGAGGAATAGTGCCTCGTCATTGGTATCAGTGGGGAGGAATAGTGCCTCGTCATTGGTATCAGTGGGGAGGAATAGTGCCTCGTCATCGGTGTCAGTGGGGGGAGGAATAGTGCCCCGTCATCGGTGTCAGTGGGGGGAGGAATAGTGCCCCGTCATCGGTGTCAGTGGGGGGAGGAATAGTGCCCCGTCATCGGTGTCAGTGGGGGGAGGAATAGTGCCCCGTCATCGGTGTCAGTGGGGGGAGGAATAGTGCCCCGTCATCGGTGTCAGTGGGGGGAGGAATAGTGCCCCGTCATCGGTGTCAGTGGGGGGAGGAATAGTGCCCCGTCATCGGTGTCAGTGGGGGGAGGAATAGTGCCCCGTCATCGGTGTCAGTGGGGGGAGGAATAGTGCCCCGTCATCGGTGTCAGTGGGGGGAGGAATAGTGCCCCGTCATCGGTGTCAGTGGGGGGGAGGAATAGTGCCCCGTCATCGGTGTCAGTGGGGGGAGGAATAGTGCCCCGTCATCGGCGTCAGTGGGGGGAGGAATAGTGCCCCGTCATCGGCGTCAGTGGGGGGAGGAATAGTGCCCCGTCATCGGCGTCAGTGGGGGGAGGAATAGTGCCCCGTCATCGGCGTCAGTGGGGGGAGGAATAGTGCCCCGTCATCGGCGTCAGTGGGGGGAGGAATAGTGCCCCGTCATCGGCGTCAGTGGGGGGAGGAATAGTGCCCCGTCATCGGCGTCAGTGGGGGGAGGAATCGTGCCCCGTCATCGGCGTCAGTGGGGGGAGGAATCGTGCCCCATCCTTGGTGTCAGTGGGGGGAGGAATCGTGCCCCATCCTTGGTGTCAGTGGGGGGAGGAATCGTGCCCCATCCTTGGTGTCAGTGGGGGGAGGAATCGTGCCCCATCCTTGGTGTCAGTGGGGGGAGGAATCGTGCCCCATCCTTGGTGTCAGTGGGGGGAGGAATCGTGCCCCATCCTTGGTGTCAGTGGGGGGAGGAATCGTGCCCCATCCTTGGTGTCAGTGGGGGGAGGAATCGTGCCCCATCCTTGGTGTCAGTGGGGGAGGAATCGTGCCCCATCCTTGGTGTCAGTGGGGGGGGAGGAATCGTGCCCCATCCTTGGTGTCAGTGGGGGGAGGAATCGTGCCCCATCCTTGGTGTCAGTGGGAGGAATAGTGCCCCATCGTTGGTGTCAGTGGGAGGCATAGTGCCCCATCATTGGTATTAGTGACACCAATGATGGGGCACTATTCCCACTGACACCAATGATACTTACCTTGCAGACCCCTGCTCCAGCCTGGGCTCGCTCGCTCCCTCCCCCATGGTACCGACACTTACCTGTCAGATGTCTTCCTTCTCCGGCCGCTCTCCTCCTCTTCACTCGCTCGATCTTCGCGGTGCCGCTCGGCTCCTCCTCTCCAAGCTCCACCTCCTTGCCGGTGATTGGCCGCCTGTGTGCCTCTCCTGAGCTACAGTGCCGGCGGCCAATCACAGGCGAGGATTGATCTCGAGGTGTGTCCAGATGACAGGGGCGGCATGTCATTCCGCCCACACCTGGAAACGGCGGTGGCGGCGGCGGCGAGGAGCGGTGTCTCGGTTCCTAAGACCATCGGAAATATGTGTTTTCCGATGGTCTTAGGCGACCCCTGTGGAAGCGTCGTTCGACCCCCAAAGGGGTCGCGACCCCCAGGTTGAGAACCGCTGTCCTAGAGCAAAAAGAAAACTCTTCCTACACGCTTTAACCAGTGCTCTGCTGAAGTCACCAGACTGCTCCAACTGCTGATAAGAAAAGCACTTTGTTTGCAGAACCCTGATTTTGGAATCCAATACCAAACTGGGAGGAGGAAGATCTGTTGATGCATCCATAAAGGAGGGACCCACTTTCTGTGACCAGACCAGCTTTGTTCCTTCTGGATTTTTGAAAAATTAGTTTTGAACAGACTGGGTAGTGATTAGAACCTCTGAGAGTTCACTGCTGTCTGTATCGCTGCTTACTTCCCATCCTGATGACCACAAAGCATTTAGTGGAAAATCTCCCCAACAGTGACACAAACAGCAATATAACCCTGACAATGTCTAAGTCTTCCCTACTCTATCAAAAAACCAATATGGCATGGACGTCCACTTTGGGGAAAAAAAAAAAAAAGAACACAAGTATAAAATGCTTAATTGCTGATCATGTAGAACACAGCAGAACCAACATACTTTACTTTCTTCTTTCACTTTGTCCTTAAGGAAATCTTCCACAAAATGTGATGCAAATTCTTCACTGATCTCTTTCTTGTACGGTATAGTGACTGGAGATTTGCTGTAATCAAAATATTAAGTTTATCTTAGACTAGCAAACAATATTGGAATGGCAAACACGTTAAAGTGCAGCACCTGCCTGCACTTCCTTCATTCACTAAACATGCACAGTTTAGGAGACATTTACTTGGAAAACTGCTGGTGACATCACTGGCGCATGCGCTCTGAAGAACAGTATACCCGTGCCGTTCCTTCAGAGCCGTGTGTGCCAAACCATTGCACAGAGCAGGTAAGTATAACACTGAAAAAATATTTATAAGGGAAAGCCCCCATGAGAAAAGAAGGTACTGCTAAGTGACCCAGGTAGTTTAACTGAAATTATAACTTCATTGAAACCACACACAATATATATGCAAGCAAATATACAAAAAAAAAAAAAAAAAAATCAAAGTCTCCACCCATCACCATTAAAAACATGACAACGCTGTCACTTAAAAATGAAGAAACCCGGGGTCAGATGTAAAAAATGCAGGATGTCAGGTCCTCAGAATGGTACATCACAAGACTCTAAGCCACCACTGTGGGGAAAATTACCCCATTCATAGCCACCATCAAGTAGTGTGGGGAGGCAGAGTCCAGATATCACATAGGGGGAACAACATCCTGAATAATGCAAAGCTAAGGCTAAAACAAAACGTGACACACAGATATAGCCATATAAAATGAGGCATATAAAAAGTTGTGGACCTCAATAAATTTAGCAATATTGATAAACGCTGAACTTCAAACGAAGGACTGAAGCAACATAACAAAAAGTCCAGCTGCCTTCATATATGTTGTGCGGGGAGCAACAATTGAGGCGCTTAAGTGCGGTAAAGCCTAGACATCAGATTGGACAATGAAGACCATAATGATGGTTACCTAGTCCATGTGGCACCCTCTAGTAAATGAGAGCACCCACAAGGGCGCATCATTGGTTCACAGATCCCTGTGGATCAATGAACTACAAGTACGGACAGTCTTTGCGGCTGTCGGCTTGTAGTTCTCCATGAACTACCACGGTGCTGTTGAGCGCTGTGGTAGTTCAATGATTTTTCATGTCAGTGCAAACCTGCCAGTATGACATATGGTCAGACAGATTACGCTGACAGGTCTGCAGGAGACCTCTATGGTACCAGCGATCTGCTGATCGCTGGTGCAATGCTTTCCAGGCTCCTAAAACAAAAACAAAAAAAAAAATAGTAAATGCACTTTTTTTTTTACCTGCAAAAAAAAAAATAAATAAATAAAAAATTAGCATTTATTATATTTTGTCAAAAGGTACACTTTATCCTTTAAACTTCTTTGCTTTAATTAGTTTCCATTATTATAGGGTCTTATTATTATAGAAGAAATACTGAGTTATAACATGTTATACCATAATAATATATATATATATATATATATATATGTATTTTTTTTTCTTTTATCTAATAGACAACAAAACATCTCTTACAATGAATATGGGATTTTCTCCCAGGATCTCTCTGCCTCCAGCACATCTTCTGTTCGGGGGCTTCCATTATTCTCTGGAGGGTCAGGACACTCTTTCAGTGGGGACTCAAAGGCTACGGATTTCCGCAAAGCTGAATCATCAGGGTGATCTAAGAACAAAGCGATCAGACACGTTGCATATAACAGTTTACATAGTAAAATGTCACAGGAAGACTGAAATGTTTCCTGCAGGTGAGCTCAGGAAGGATGGAAGTACACTTACTTTTAAGAGCTGTATGCAAATGTCTTAAAACATCCAAATCAGAAAGTCCCGAATATAATTTTTCACTGGTGCTGTTGACATTAACCGCTTTTTTGCCTTGTCTATCATAAAACAAAGTTTGTAAAGAACCCGAAGGTGAGAAGCTTTGTATGTTTGTAAAGGGTTCATTAGCAGAAGCTTTTGAGGTCTTGTACATGTTCTTGGTGGTGGGGCTTTCGGAATTTCCCAGAAGACCATAGTCTTTTATCCAGAGGGGATATTTAACGTCTGGAATACTGGTAATTCCCGACACACTTAGTTCTGATTTTTGACTAGTCAGCCATCTTGGATAACTTTTAGGTATTTCAGACCCTCTCGACAAATATGGAGAGCTCAGGTTGTTATGATAAGCAGGACGGTTTTCTCTATCCATTTCACGGAGAATGTTTGTTTTGTTTTCTTTGATGTCATCTCCAAACCTCCGCAGATCCAAAGACCGGGAATCATGACGAAAAGAATGGCGGTTAGCCCTCGTGTTTAGTGAGGACCTTAGAGGAGAGGACTGAGCAGTGTGGTTTGGGAGGGAAGCTCCATAGTAATTATTTAGGTTTTCACAATGTTTCCAATGTGAGACTTGAGAGAATGGTAGTGAGCCATCAGAGGGGAAGCCCAAGAGATCATCAGTGGTGAGGCTCAATTGATCTGGGTCACGAGCAACATATCGTCTTCTAGATGAATGCTTGGGTCGAAGATGTCTATCAGCTGCACCTAAAGAAAAAATAAACAGCAAGAAATTCTCTCTATAATCATCAAAGTACAATTCTAAGAAAAATCCCCATCTCTCCTAAAACAGCTGAGAACCTTATTTATCAAATTCTGGTAATTAATCAAGTGTACTGAGAAATTGGACAAAGCTGGTTGCTACAGGCAGCAAGAACAGTTTTCCTTCAGACACTGAAAACCAGAGCCCTGTGCATTTTAAAGACATAATGGAAAACAAAAATTAAGTCTAATCACACTGAGCACAGTTGAGTGGAACCATGCCTGAGTAGGACTGTCTCCCCTCCCCCACCAAGCTGTGCTTGAAAAGAAGCATACATCAGACCACAGTGATCCCCTCTTCATGTTTTTTATGTGATTTATAGACAGGCAAGGTTTTATGCACTGAAGACGACTGCACCCAAGACCACCTCTTCCAAACAGTCCCAGGCACAGTTCTGAGCTCTCAGACTACACAAAATGAAACTGACTGAGGGCCTAAACCAAGCAGACATGATAAAACGCCCCGAGGTCCATTTATAAAACACTTGCTGTGCAGATATCTTAGCCATTCACAAAAGGCACCACGATTGTTTGTAACAAGGTCACCATGTTACTTAAATATATGTAATTATATTATAATATATATTTATTACTGCATTATGGCCACTAAATGGAGCTGAACTATAGGAGACAATCATGTTTCAGGAGTGTGGAAATGAATTGGGGTCCCAATCTACCTGTCTTTTTTTTTTTTTTTTTTATTTAAGTATTTATTTATTTTCAAATATAACAATACAAAAATCCAAAATGGAAATACAAAAAAAAACCCAAAAAAATTCTCATAAAACCACTTATTTCATATCATTTTTTCTCCCCATGACCCCCTTCCTTCAACCCACCCTCAGCCCCACCCCTCTTCAATGAACCCCTGACATCTATCTGATCGACTTATCTCACATCCTCTGTATACAAAGATTTAAAAGGAAGAAAGAAAATTACTATACATTTTCTTTTTTTATACTTAATTACAAAGTAACTTATTTCACCTTTACCTTAAACTCATTTCATATAATATGCCTCCATCCTATCTTCCTGTATGTAATATAGTTTCTCCAATCTAGCAATCTGGTCCACTCTATTCATCCAATCCTCTTCCCTCGGTGCCTCAACTTTGCGCCAAAACCTAGGTATCAAACTTTTTGCTGCATTTAGATAGTACCATATACCCAGTTCTTTATATTTATTCACTGATATTTTTGTAATATGAAAAAGACAAGTTTCAGGGTCCAGTCCAATCTCAGTTCCGGTAATAATCCTAATTTGATTTATAACCTTTCTCCAATATACTTGTATTTTTGAACATTCCCACCATATGTGGTACATCGTGCCCAACCCTCCACACCCTCGCCAACACCAAGGTTGTTTCTCCCCACTCATCTTTTGCTCTACCGTCGGTGTAACCACCTTATCAAACATTTGAAGTTCATTTCCACCTCACGCATGCTGACATTCTCGTGTACCAGTCTATATATTTTTCTTTGTGTGTGCTCCTTCCACTCCACCCCTAAATCCCTTTCCCATTTTTCTATGTACCTTAATTTTGACTTACTATCTAAATCAGTGAGAATTTTATATACTTTAGCAGTGCTGTGCTTCCCATCATCTCGAACTTCCAAAATACTTCTCAAATAAATTCCAATCTTTTCTAATTCTAAGAGGCTTTGTCAATTTCCCCACAAATGGTTTCAATTGGTTATACCTCCATATATCTATCTTAGTGAAAATCCCTCCTTCTTCCCTTCCAATCTAATTGTCTTGATAAGGAATGTCTGGAGCTTTTAAAAAACAAAAAAAGGGGCATTATTGCGACTTGAACTATTAATGATTTTAACTCTGCTTTGTTTCGGTCTCTCACCTTCCTGCCAGTCTCCAGCACCGCACCCAGGGACTAGCAGGGAGGGTAGTGACTTTGCAGTGTGATGACAAACCACTTGGATGCATGTCAGGAAAGGCGAGTGTCAGGCTCTCTTAATACTCAGCACAAGCACAACTGCTGAACAAGTAAATGAGGCACTGGCCCCAACGAAAAAAAAAAAAAAAAAAAAAGTTATGCCTTATAGATCACCCCAATAATTCCTCTGGAACTTCCCACTCCTGACAGATCTTACTTAAAAATCTACTGCCAAACACATCAGAACCCAATAGAATTAAAAAGATTAAAAAAAAAAAAAAAAAAAAAAAAAAAAAGCAGACAAACCTCTGCATAATGTAAGACAACGATGAGACTGCTAGACACAACAATAAGGTGCCATCTGCAAGATTATTAACCCCCAATGACCAGCACCAGTGTGTTTAGGAATCATCCTGCTAGAAGGGCCATGTGACATTTTTAAAGTGTTTGTGAAGGCTTTTTACCTTTATGCATTCTAAAAAAAACTTCTGTGTGCTGCTCCCCCCACTCCCCCCTCCCACCTAATACTCACCTGAGCCCAATCTAGTGATGTGCACAAAAGCCTTGACTGTCCTGGGACTCTTGCCTCTTGCTCCTCAGTGGCTGAGACAGCAGCGGGAGCTACTGGATCCCACTGCAGTCAGTCACAGCCAGTGAGCAAAATAGGAGAGAGCAGGGGGTGAGGCCGAGCCACGGGTCTATGTGTATCCTATGGACACGTAAAGCAGGGCTCCGGAGCAATCATCTACCAGTGCCCCCATAACAAGCAGCTTGGTTTAGGTGCACTGCTCAAGGGGGAGGAACAAGGAGTGCAGCCAGCGCTGCTCTGTTCAAAACCATTGCAGAGCAGATAAAGTAAGACATTTTGTGCTGGGGCTGAGCGGACTGACAGACTGACTATGAGCCCAGCAAAAAGTAAACCCTGCTGCTTGCAGAGCTAAATATAGCAAAAAAACCCCCAAAAAAAACACAACTACCCGGTGCCCTGAACTGCTTGTCCCAGGCATCGGGCAATATGATCTGTACATCCCTGAAATGTTTAAGACACATGAACAGTGAATGTTTTATACACAGACCAGGGGTGTGGACATTTTTTTTTACAAAAACTACTTCTCCAAAAGGACTAAATTGGGGCCCCAATCTACTTGTCCCTCATGACCATCTATTTTATCTGATGGGTTGATGAGTTTTTTTTATTGGGCACAGGTGCTTTAAGAAATGTTTGAGGCTTTAAAAAAAAAAAAAAAAAAAAAAAGAAGAAGGGGGGGGGGGGGGGGGGGCTTTATGGCAACCTAAATTTTAATGTGTTTTATATTTTGCAAGAAAATTTCTTAGAACCCCCAAACATTATATGTATTTTTTTAAAGCAGAGGCCCTAGAGAATAAATTGGTGGGTGTTGCAATTTGTGTCACACGGTATTTGCGCAACAGTTTTTCAAACGCAGTTTTTTTTATGGAAAGAATACACTCTTGAATTTTAATGCAAAAAAAACAAGAGAGAGTCAATTACCTGGTAACTCCATTTCCATGAATCTTCTAGGACAGCATGGATTCCCTCCCTATATTCTGAGTTGTATTGAGTTATGTTGTTCCATTAGTTGCCTTCGGTTCTTCCTTACTACTGAGGACACTAGATGACTGCTCTTTTTTGATTGTGGAAAATGTTTCCCGTTTTAGGTGGGTGGAGGCTCTCTCTTATGTGCTGTCCTAGAAGATTCATGGAAATGGAGTTACCAGGTAATTAACTCTTGTTTTTTGCATTAAAATTCAAGAAAGCCTCCACCCACCTAAATCAGGAAACATTTTCCACAATCAAAAAAAGAGCACAATCATCTAGTGTCCCCAGTAGTAAGGAAGAACCAAAGGCAACTAATGGAACATACAGTCAGGTCCATAAATATTGAGACATCGACACAATTCTAACATTTTTGGCTCTATACACCACCACAATGGATTTGAAATGAAATGAACAAGATGTGCTTTAACTGCAGACTGTCAGCTTTAATTTGAGGGTATTTACATCCAAATCAGGTGAACGGTGTAGGAATTACAACAGTTTGCATATGTGCCTCCCACTTCTTAAGGGACCAAAAGTAATGGGACAGAATAATAATCATAAATCAAACTTTCACTTTTTAATACTTGGTTGCAAATCCTTTGCAGTCAATTACAGCCTGAAGTCTGGAACACATAGACATCACCAGACGCTGGGTTTCATCCCTGGTGATGCTCTGTCAGGTCTCTACTGCAACTGTCATCAGTTCCTGCTTGTTCTTGGGGCATTTTCCCTTCAGTTTTGTCTTCAGCAAGTGAAATGCATGCTCAATCGGATTCAGGTCAGGTGACTGACTTGGCCATTGCATAACATTCCACTTCTTTCCCTTCAAAAACTCTTTGGTTGCTTTTGCAGTATGCTTTGGGTCATTGTCCATCTGCACTGTGAAGCGTCCAATGAGTTCTGAAGCATTTGGCTGAATATGAGCAGATAATATTGCCCGAAACACTTCGGAATTCATCCGGCTGCTTTTGTCAGCAGTCACATCATCAATAAATACAAGAGAACCAGTTCCATTGGCAGCCATACATGCCCACGCCATGACACTACCACCACCATGCTTCACTGATGAGGTGGTATGCTTAGGATCATGAGCAGTTCCTTTCCTTCTCCATACTCTTCTCTTCCCATCACTCTGGTACAAGTTGATCTTGGTCTCATCTGTCCATAGGATGTTGTTCCAGAACTGTGAAGGCTTTTTTAGATGTCGTTTGGCAAACTCTAATCTGGCCTTCCTGTTTTTGAGGCTCACCAATGGTTTCCATTTTGTGGTGAACCCTCTGTATTCACTCTGGTGAAGTCTTCTCTTGATTGTTGACTTTGACACACATACATCTACCTCCTGGAGAGTGTTCTTGATCTGGACAACTGTTGTGAAGGGTGTTTTCTTCACCAGGGAAAAAATTTGTCGGTCATTCACCACAGTTGTTTTCCGTGGTCTTCCGGGTCTTTTGGTGTTGCTGAGCTCACCGGTGCATTCCTTCTTTTTAAGAATGTTCCAAACAGTTGTTTTGGCCAAGCCTAATGTTTTTACTATCTCTCTGATGGGTTTATTTTGTTTTTTCAGCCTAATGATGGCTTCACTGATAGTGACAGCTCTTTGGATCTCATCTTGAGAGTTGACAGCAACAGATTCCACATGCAAATAGCACACTTGAAATGAACTCTGGACCTTTTATCTGCTCATTGTAATTGGGATAATGAGGGAATAACACACACCTGGCCATGGAACACCTGAGAAGCCAATTGTCTCATTACTTTTGGTCCCTTAACAAGTGGGAGGCACATATGCAAACTGTTGTAATTCCTACACGGTTCACCTGATTTGGATGCAAATACCCTCAAATTAAAGCTGACAGTCTGCAGTTAAAGCACATTTTGTTCGTTTCATTTCAAATCCATTGTGGTGGTGTACAGAGCCAAAAATGTTAGAATTGTGGCAATGTCCCAATATTTATGGACCCGACTGTAAATCAATACAACTCAGAATATAGGGCGGCAATCCATGCTGTCCTGGAAGATTCATGGAAATGGAGTTACTGGGTAATTAATTATTGTTTTCCCATTTCATCTTCCAGGACAGCACATGGGAGGACATTACAGAAATAACCTATTAGGGTGGGGCTACTGCTTCCAGGAACTGTTCCACAAGGCTTAGTCCTGAAAGGACAGCAAGGCAATCTGGATGTGTCACAACACTGTATGAAAAAATGGACCAGCTGGTAACTCTGTAGAGCTGTTGAGGCAAAACACCTTATTCTCTGTCCATGTTGAGGCCAAAGACCTGAGAAATGACCCAAATCCAATGGGAGGTTCTACTTTAAAAATTATGTACAGCGTGCCCTCACATTGTGAATGTGATGATCCACCTGCCCTTGGTGTTCTTAGGCACACGAGCAACTGACTTGGGTCCCATGAATAGTACCAAAAGGCTACTTTGCTTTGCGCAATCCAAATGATGGAAAAAAGTAGAGTTCGAGTCAAACTGTAAACAAAAAAACTGACAACTTCCGCTTTCGATCGCCTAGGAGATCACAGCGGAAGTGGGAGCGGGTACCTGTCAATTTTGGGTACCCGCTCCCCAAAGGTGCCAATCTTTAACAGGGATCGGGAAGGGGGGGGGGGGGGAAAATCAGTCCTTAACTGCCTTCCGCTCGCCGTATTAGGAAATGATGGGCGCAAGGCGGTTCTCTCGTTCTGGGAGGACATCACATGAGGTCCTCCCACTCTAACCGCGAGTGCGAGGCTCCAGTGGCGCGCAGCGCGGTGATCGGGGGTGCTCTGTCCCTTGGACACAGCGGATCACCAATCAACGGAAAGAGCCGAGGACGTTGGCTCGGTCATGTGATTAGCTGTGTCCAATCACAGCTGATCGCATGTAAATAAGGAAATGCCGGGTATCGGCATTTCTCACCTCACGAGCTGTCACGCTGACAGAGGAGAGGAGAGCTGGTAATCGGCATTCCTCAGAGGGGACATGTACACAGATCATCAGGGCACTGATGATCAGTGTGCCCTGATGATCAGTGTAGCCCCAGCAGTGCCACCTGTCAGTGTCCATCAATGCCAGCTCTCAGTGCTAATCAATGCCACCTGCCAGTGTCCATCAGTGCCACATATCAGTGCCTACCAGTGCACATTAATGCCACATCAGTGCCCATCTGAGCTGCCTTTCAGTGCCACCTATCAGTGCCAGTCAGAGCCCTCTATCAGTGCTCACAATCAGTGCCACCAGTGTGCATCAGTGACGCCCGTCAGTGCTGCCTAACAGTGCCCGTCAGTGATGCCTGTCAATGCCCATCAGTGCCACCTACCAGTGCCTATCAGTGCAGTCTCATTAATGCACATCAGTAAAGGAGAAAAATCACTTATTTACAAAATTTTATTACAAAAACTAAGAAAAAACATTTTTTTTTTTAATTTTTAGTTGTTTTTGGTTTGTTTAGCAAAACAAAAACCCAGGAGGTGATTAAATACTACCAAAAGAAAGCTCTATCCATCTAAAAAAAAAATGATAAAAATGTCATGAGTAGTGTTGCATGACCGCGCAATTGTCATTCAAAGTGTGACAGCACTGAAAGCTGAAAATTGGCCTGGGCAGGAAGGGGGTCTAAGTGCCCTGTAGGCAAGGGGTTAAAAATAAAATAGTATGGATTTACTTCCTATCTCAGAATGGGTTTGAAAATAGGGAAGAAATCTCCAATACCTAAGCCTGCAGCTTAGGTATTCAGACCCTTAGATCTATTATAACAAGTAACCTGTCTGGGATAAACATAGTGGGATTCCATGAATATTAAATATCTACTTGCAACACGGTCCTAAAAATAAATGTTCTTGTCCAAAACAGTGTACAAAAGAAAGACATGCTGGATTGCTGAATAGCCATCAAGCCATGCAGCGGCCTTGGGGTGTAGGATAGAGCACTGGAGCATTAGATCACTGTTGCCTGGGAGCATCCTAGTCTTGCACTGACAGTGTAGCATGGCAGCACCAGGATGGTTTTGGCTATTAACCATTTGACGCCCGGCCAATAGCCGTATTGGCTCCTGGAAAATCACACTAGCTTTCCGGGAGGCCGCCATTTGGCGTACTCCCGCACATGCGCAGTTCGCACGCTTGCAGAGCCTCACAATCTGTCACCGGCCATGCACCTCGGACACGGCCGATGACAGATCTGAGTATCGGCCCCATTGCTGGTACCATGTGACCTGCTGTGACCAATCACAGCAGGTCACATGACAGTTGTATACAATGGATGGCTTCATTCATGCCATCCATTTTATACTAGTGTCTAGCTGTGAATGGTCACAGCTAATCACATGCACATGTCATGTGATTAGCTGTGGCCAAATCACAGCTAAGCACAAAATCCCTGAATGAATCGATGTCATTCAGGTAACTGCTTGCTTATAATTGTGTAAAAAAAATATATTGATCACTTCCCCAAAGTAGTACAATGTTACTATGGTAACAATGTACTACTTTGGACATAGTGAAATCTAAAAAAATAAAATAAAATAAAAAAAATTTAATAAAAAAATTTAAAATAAAATTTATTTTTTTTTTTTTTTTTTTTTTTTCACACTGTCACCAGTCAGTGTCCCTGATCACCACCATGCCAGTTATATGATGATGCTGTACTGCACTGGTGACAGTATGTAAAAAAAAAAAAAATAGTGAAAATAAATTTTTTCATTTTCCGAAAAACGAAAAAAAAAAAAAAAAAAAAAATACAACTTCAAAAAACTCGCCATGCCTCTTATAAAGTACGTCGGACTGTCTACTCTGCAAAAAGGGGTCATTTGGGGGATTATCTGTACTGTTCTGACATTCTTGGACCTCAGGATTGATCAATATTCAGATCGATCCCATAGTTTGTGAACTCTATAACTTTCCTACAAACTAAATAATACATCCTAATTTGGGTTATTTTCACCAAAGACATGTAGCAGAATACATCTCGGCCTAAATTTATGAAGAGCAATTATTTATTTGTAAACTTTTATAACAGAAACAAAGAAAAACGTGGGGGTTTTTTTTCAAAATTTTCAGTCTTTTTTTGTTAATTTAGCAAAATATAAAAACCCCAGCGGTGATTAAATACCACCAAAAGAAAGCTCTAGTTGTGTGAAAATGATAAAATTTTAGTTTGGGTAAAATGTTGTATGACCGCGCAATTGCCATTCAAAGTGTGAGAGCGCTGAAACCTGAAAAATGGCCTGGGCAGGAAGATGTAAAATTGCCCGGTATTGAATTGGTTAAAGGATAATGCAGGCCATAGATGGGTCGAAAATCGGCCGATTTTTCGGCCGAAAATAAAATCGGCCGATTTTCGGATCGTTAGTGGGCTATTTGTTCGGCCGTTTTTCGGTATTTTGGCACTTTTTTTTTTATCGGTAAAGTTGGAAAAAAAAAATCGGCCGATTTTCGCGGCAATGATGGGCAAATCGGCCGATTTTTTACCGATAAAAAATCTGCGCATGAGCAGTGACCTGCAAGAGGAAGACAAAAAGAAGAAAAAGAAGAAGAGGAAGACGAAGACAAAAAGAAGAAAAAGAGGAAGACAAAAAGGAAGAGGAAGAGGAGGAGGAGGAAGAGGAAGAAGGATGAAAAATAAGAGGAATTCCAGTCCGGCAAAAAGTGTCCCTGCAGAGAGCTCCGCTATTTCTTTGACAGTTCCTTGACATTTACAGCGGTTGCAACATTGTATCTATTTGTTTCCGGATAAAAACATCTGTATCCTAAATGGATACAAATAGATACATTGTTGCAACCGCTATAAATGTCAAAGAACTGTCAAAGAAATAGCAGAGCAATCTGCAGGGACACTTTTTGCCGGCTGTAGACGGGATGAAAATCGGACGATTTTTTTTTACCATTGCTGGTAACGTCGGCCGCTTGAACGACCGATTTTTCGTTTTTTAAAAGAAAAAAAAAAATCGGCCGTTTTTCTCCCCATCTATGGCCTGCATAAGTTCCCCTTTAAAAAAAAAAAAAAAAAAGAAAGAAAGAAAGGAGTAAGAAGAAACAAGAAAGAAGGTGCATTTATTTTTTGTTTGTGGAGCCTCTAAAGCATTGCACCTGCGATCGGTAGATTGCTGGTGCCATGTAGGTCTCCCCCTGACATGTCAGTATATCTGCTTGCTCATAAATCCCATACGGGGAAGGAGATACTGACAGGAAGGCTCAGTGAACTAGCACAGCACTGTGGAGCACCATGGTAGTTCACTGAAAACTACAACACAACAGCCATAAAGGATGCCAGGACTTGTAGTAGTCTTCCCAGTCACAGAATACTGTGAATGAGTGACAAGGCTGGGCAGACAGGGCTCTGCACAGCCACGTTTTATTTAAATTGTGACAGCTAGCAGGAAAGAGAAAACGAATCGCAGCAGGGATCGGGGTGTAACATGTTCTGAAAGGTGAACGTATCCTTTCAGGGCTGTAAGGAAAATCTTTGCCTTTTGCCCCCATAGGGATTCCTGGGTCACTGCAGGCAGCAAAGGGGAAAGCAGGAAAAGCCTACAATCACCCAGATTAGGCATGTGCTTAGGCCCTGGCCGCCATCTTCTCCTCTAGGGAAAATACATTTTAGACTTTCATGTTTACTTCCATGCAGTCAGCTTTGTATCAAACAGCAACTACGAAACCTACTTTGTCATTTACAGCTCGGCTATACCATGCATAGTAAATATTACAATGCATGAGTGATGTGCAAAAGGACAATCAAATAGAAATGATAACTCCCAACCCACATAATATCCTTCATACAAGAGATACCTATGGACATCCAAGTAATAGGCCCTTGTATTTACCGAGCAGATTTCTGCCCCAAAGCCATATATGCCCATACCTGTAACCTTCCTCCCCTGTGAATGTTGGTACGGCAACTATGTGAGTGTTCTGTAGACCCAAAACACCTACATTTAAATGCAATATAAAGCTGAAAGGAACTGAATAAATAATGAACCTACTTTACAAATGACAGGTGCCCTGCCCAATGTTTGAAGTCTGACTCCACTCCAGCACCATATGGAGACGGAACCTGTAGCAGTAACCGAACATTCACCTAATACCCAACAATCAGCAATACATATACCATTGTTGCCTGTGCCACAAGTCAACATTTTCCATAATCCTCCCATGCCCGCCTCCAGGACTTCTCCAGGGTGTCACCCATCCTCTGGAACTCCCTGTCCCAACCCATCAGACTATCACCTACTCTCCTCTCCTTTAGGCGCACCCTGAAAACCCATCTCTTCAGGGAAGCCTACCCCACCCCCTGCTAACCTGCCGACCTCCTCCACTCTTCCTACCACTCCATCCCCCACAGCTATCTCCTCCTGTGCCACCATCCCCTCCCTCCTAGATTGTAAACTTGAAAGAGCAGGGCCCTCAATCCCCTCATGTTTTGCATTGTATTGTTATTGTTCTGTCACATGTTCTGTCCCCCTTTGTAATGTACAGCGCTGAACGAACTATCAGCGCTTTATAAATACTGTATAATAATAATAATCACATGTCAGATATAGCCTAGTCTCCGGCTACCAAACCATTACACATTTATCCAGTGGAGGAACCCAGGGAGCTCCAGGTGATAGAAGTCCAAGCACACCACTGGAGTGCACAGCAGATACTGATCACACGTAATAGGTACAGCTTCAGCTCTTAGACATAATCAAAGATTTTAGCTGAAACAGAAGCAAAAATTAGTCTCCTTAATACTATATATTTAGGCAATGTAAAACCACAGCAGACCCCACTGGGCTGTCACCTCCCCTTGCTGAAAAAGAGGAGAGTGTAATTGATGATAAACATGGAGTTAGCAGACCCCAGTAGCCCTGAACATGCACAAGTGTACCATAAATGTAGGAAGGAGTTAGCAGATTGCAGCTTTTGCTGATTGCAGAGTTTGAAGCACACTGCTCTGCACATTGACAGGGGTTAGGGCCTCCAAATTACCACACTAATGGTGGACAGGAACACAACACACATTCACCATGTGGTTGTAAGAGGCATGCAAACACCCATAGCAACCAACACCCAAAGAGACGACATCGTCCTAAGGGTAACCCCACACTCTGCCTACCCACAGCTCAGGTATGGTAAGAAGGAGCGTTAAAAGGAAAAAAACCTCCAACCAACTTACCTTGGAGCCATCTGCCAGATTCATAGCAGCAGTCATGGCAGAGAAGAGGTCTGTCATGGGGAAGATCCAAGTCCGCCTTCTGCTCCATCCCCCACCAGGTTGTGCTCCCTCCCTGGTGTCTGTAGATGCTGGTACCAGGGTATACTCACAAACCCACCATATTGATGCCTACGCACCATAGTTCACCTGACTTAGCAGACATGCACCCCCCATCTGAAAAGTAGTCTGGGACTCCGGATGCCTTTGCTCACTCACTGATTCCCAGGGAGGTGGAGTATGAGCCTGCCCCAGCCATACAGTTTTTGGGGAAGCCAGCAGCTACAATTGATCCATCCATCCCGATCAGTAGCAAACAGAAGCTCAGCCTGTGACGATCGCGGTGTCAGACCCCTGCCCTTCTCACCAAACTCGTGACCGTTGACTGGCCAATCTAAAACCGCAATGTCACGTGTGTAACAATGCCACGCCTAGCTGCACAATGATTTTCCAGCTAATTGGACCACAATCGATGTACCGGCAGCCTGGGAGCGATTGCTACTGGGTCAGGTTAATTACGCAATTAACCCTTCACACTGCCACCACCTCCTTTTTGTACAGAGAAAGAGGAAACTCGGCGATATCAGCAACACTATAATGGTTGAGATAATCGTCTGTATAACACGGTCACCGCAGGCCGGTTACACAGAGGGTTAAACAAACACAGTAGCGCTCTTTTAGAGGCAGGAATTTGTAAATTGCAATAAGGAGCTATAGAAACAGTTCAACACTTTCAGAAGGAAAGATTTATTACTAAAAAAGGTCAAAAGGGTGCAATAAATATATTTACAGAAAAAAGATGTAACATACACACACACACACACACACAAGAACAATAGCACAGCAAAGAGATAACAGAGAGAAGTTAGAGGGTTAAAGTACTTGCCAAAGTCCTGGGTTAGCAGGTCAAGTTTCAGAGCGAAAGGGTACGGGTCTCCCCAGGTGGTTCTGATGTTAAAAAGGGAGAATTCTTCAACTTCTTCTTTCTTAGGCCTGACAACCCATTTTGTAGTTCCCCAGGCAGAGAGTGTTTCTGAAGTCAAGGACCAATGCCCAGTTTAGGGAGGAGTCATCTGGGCGTAGGCCTAAACTAGAGCCAAAATCTTATAGTTCATATTTTGGCTCATAACTTTCCATCTGCACAAGTGACATTCCACCCGCGGGTAGATTATTATGCAGACACATCTGAGGTATGATTAGATATGAAATTATACACTGAATGGTTCACGAGATCTACTTTTCTGCTTTCCTATGTATTCCAGCCAAGGAGAGTGACCTATCAAACGGTTTGTCTCCTCGTGGCCAATTTGAAGATATGCCTGGTTTTATGTAAGTCCCTCATATTCCAAGATATGAGACATAGGGGAAAAATGGATTTTAAAAAAGTGTTATCTGGTTCGTGCTTCCTTGGAATGCCTTGAATTCCTGGGAAGGCTTGCGTTATCTTTTACGAGGTGTTATATTGCACAGATCTCTTAGGCAAGCAGGCACTCAGGGGTTCCTGCTGTGTTCTGGCCTGCCTGCGACACTTCCAACACCCACACCAACCAGATGTCACTGTGGCTCTCAGAGAGTGGGAGAATGATGGGACAAAAATGGAGATTTCTTAACAAAATGGAGGATTGCGTCAGTGTCTGGGTGTACGCTTGTTACACAGCCAGCCATTGAGGACTTGAAGCTTGACCAAAATTTGAGTAAGGGAGGGCTCCACTAGAGCCTCAGAACCCACAGGGATAGCTGCTTCTCCTCTGAAAGAGAAGGAACCTTGGAGAAATCAAAGAAGGTAATGAGGAGGGAAGGTCCCAGAACTAGAATACTTACCAAAGTAGCCTAGAAAACCCCAGATAGGCAACCGCTCCAAGTGCACTGTCCCTGGAATCATGGGGAAGCATATACTTGGAGGCCCCTACAACTAGCACGAAGACCTGAGGAATAAACCATTCTGGTGTTCCTGCTAGGCCAGAGGAAACAAATACTGAGGACACTATATGACTATGCTTTTTTTTATTTGATTGTGGATGATGTGTTTCCTGTTTTAGGTGGGTGGAGCCTCTCTCTCATGCGCTGTCCCGGATGAAATGGGAAGACAATACATAACCCAATTTTTTGTTAAAATAAAAGACAATGTTATGCCAAGTAAAATAGATACCAAACATGACAAGATTGAAAATTGCGCACACCTGTGCAAAGGCAACAACGTACATTTTACTATCCAGAGGTGACATTTTAAAACCATTTACAGGTTATCACTTTAGATTTACAAAGGGTGCTTTAAACTTTTTTTTTTTTTTTACACTGGTTGCTTTTACTTTTTTATCACTTTCATCGCTGTCACAAGGAATATAAACACCTCTTATACAGAGGGATCTGGTGTCAAAGACCAAAAATCCCTCCTCTGCCCTTCAAAGCATGATTTCCATTTTTAAAAAATGGCACTGGGCGAATCAGAAGTGATGTATGCTCATCACTTTTGGTTTCCAGAGGTGGACAGAGTGGATCCAGTCTTTGACCGACTATGATCAGCCTGCAGAAACACCAACTGGAGGCAAACATGGGAGCAGGTGCCAAGGGAGCTAGAGACCAGGAGGTCTTGGGAGGAATGAAGAGAACAATTAAATGCCCCATGATATGGGGAGAAGAGGAGAGAGAGGTATTCTGTAGTCCCAACACACTTCCCGCCCTACGATCACAATACGGCTGCTTCTGTAAATACAATATAGAGTACAGAGAGTGAGCACTGCCACCCTGGGACAAGATATGTGTTACCAGCAGGATCACCAAAATAAAAAGGAAGAAAACTAAAGCCACCATATCTAAGGAACAAGAAGATGCTGCAATATGACAATTTTTATTTTAGGTTTATGTATGCTTTGGTAGATTCCATTCTCAACCCAACTACTTTAAAAATGTCCTCTACTAACACCTATGCGGACAAACCTGCGTATAAAAGTTGTATATACAAGTATCCGTGGCTTTTTTTTCCCCCCCTCAGAATAGGTGCAGGAACTCCCTCCTTCAGAGTCACTCCTGGTCTCTGCTCCCTACCCACCTCCGTGCACTGTCCCTTGGTTGCTCCCTCTGGTCACTTCCCAGTACCAATCCTTTCAGAGAACACAAGAACCAAGCAACATTTTATGGTACAAAGTAATTGTATGGAATTTGTTACTAACAAGAAAAGCAGTGAAATAGATTCCCTGCAGCCAAACAATAGACCCGCCCAGGCAACAATAGATCCACCCCAACACTATCCCCCCGCAGCAACAACTGATCTTCCAGCAGCCAGCATCAATAAACCAGGGGTGATGAATTTAGATTGCCTAGCGCCCGGGACATGCAGTTCTGGGCGCCAGGCAGGTAGATTTTTAGCGCTGTTAGCAAGCAGCAGGGCTCACCTGTCAGGTGGAAGCATTCGGATGCCCCCCCCCCCCCCCCCCCATGAACTGGCCACTGTCTCCCGGGCTCCGTACTACCTGACACTGTACTACTTGTGGGGGGTGATGAAGATTTTTTTTTTTTTTTTTTTTTTTTTTTTTTTTACACCGATTGCTTTAACACAAATAATGATAATTAAATAAAATGTGCCTTCTCTTTATCCCCAGTCACCCACTCTAGATTATTTTGTAAAGGGCCTACATGCTCAGACCGAACCTTTTACTATTAATATATTTGAAGAATTTTACGGTTTGTCCTGCTATCTTTTGCAATCTGTCATTAGTTTTCAATTTTTTTGGCCTTTATTTCCTTTTTGCATATTCTGTTATATTCTTTGTAATGTTTAAAAGATGATAGCGTTCCTTCATTTTCATATCTAATAAAACCTCTTTTTTTTTTTATTATTTAGCTCTCTTTAAATTGAGCGTTTTTATCTTTTTCCCCGTATGTGCTTGCTACATACATACAGCTAACAACAAATGAAATCATGTTATGGTCACTGCTACCCAGATGTTCTTTTATATGGACATTCATAATAAGTTCTGCATGGTTTGAGATTACCAGGTCAAGCAGAGCATCATTCCTAGTTGGGGCCTCTATGAACTGTACCTTAAAATTGTCCTGTAGTAGTTTTAAAAAATGTTGCCCTTAAACTGTTCCTGCAGTACCGTTACTCCAATCAATTTCCAGGTAGTTAAAATCTCCATTATTATCACTGTCCCAGCCCTTTCGATCTGTGCAAGGAGCAGAGTCTCCACCTCCTCATTAACACCAGGAGGCCTATAACAAACTCCAGTGATTACCTTTGCAGTATGCACCACCATGTGCAGTTCCACCCATAATGCTTCAGCATCATCACACTCTCCATCATAGGCTGTCACCCATAGGCTCCAATGTCCCAGTCAGTTATCTCCCCTGCAGCTGCTGCTGGCTGACAAAGGGGAACCAGATCATGTAACTGGACAGCCGTGGGATGAAAATAGGTAAGTATATACATCTTTCATAAACAGGTAGTCTGCATAGGTGTTAGGAGGAGGAGGGGGGGGGGGGCATTTAAGACTAGTAAGGTTGGATTTCAACTTTAATGATTGAATTAACTGTATTCCAAGGTAAAGCTTGCCAATGGAGACAGACGGCAGTAAAAACTAGAAAAAACAAACTGCTTGATTTGGACATGCCCAACTGAAGCCACAGGCAACAAATCCAGAGGTGGCAGCCTATCTAGGCCCAAAAGAAAAAAAAAAAAAAAAAGTGGAACTTTTTTCCCCCTTTCAAGACAGTGCCTCCAGAAGCAAAAAAAGCAGAGACAGCTAAGTGACCCCTCATTTTATAAGCCAATGCCATGTCCAGCCTTCAGCTGCAATAAATCAAATCTTGGGAGTTCTCACTGGCATTTATGCTAAAACACCTGAAGAAACTGTCCTAAACACTGAGATCTCCCCAGGACCAAGAACCCGCATACACTGGTTACAGAACGCACCTTTTTTCTTAGTAGAACCAAGTGTGGCTGATGAACGGATGCTGATCTTCCCTGTACTGGCCATAGGAGACCTCAGACTTTCTTCAAAGTCCTCAATATAGGCCTCCAATGCATTCGTAGCAGAGTCATACAGCTTATCCTTGTATTCTATAGAGCTGGAGAAACTTGAGGTTCCCTTACGGGTATCCAGTCTGCAGCTGGCCAGGAGAGAGGAGATGGATATGGAGGAGTCTGGAGATGTGGATCCGGCCATCTTTCTACACTCACCTCGTGTGCAACCTAGCTGCAAGACATAAATAAATAAAAAGAGAAGCACACTTTTCAATATATTTATACATTTGTTTTTTAGGCATAAGTGAAAAAGAAAAAAAAATGTAAATAATTGCAGCAAAGGTCATCTGAACTTTGTTTTAAATCAGCTAAATGCATTCCAGGTGCATCAAGACAAAAAGGTGTCCAAATCTGAACATTAACCACTTGTCCTCTTCATGACCAGGCCATTGTTTGCTATTCAGCACTGTGTTACTGTAACTTGTAATTGCGTGGTCATGTAACACTGTACCCAAATGAAAATGTATATTTGCTTTCACACAAATAGAGGTTTCTTTTGGCATTTGATCACCACTGGGTTTTTCATTATGAAAACTAATAAGAGACCGAAAATGTTGGGAATTAAACTTTTTTTTTTTTACCTTCGGCTATAAAGACATATACAATAAAAATATTGCATTTCTTTATGAATTTAGGCCTCAATGTATTCTGCTACATCTTTGGTAAAAAAAAAAAAAAAAAGGAAGAAGAAGGATCCCAATAAGTGTATATATTGATTGGTTTGTGTAAAATTTATAGCGTCTACAAACTATGGTATATACACACTTGAATTGTTTTATTTTTTTTGTAATGGTGGTGATCAGCAACTTATAAAGGGACTGTGATACTGTGTGGCGGGCAATCTGACACTGGCTGGGAGGTACAGGGACACTGACATCAATAGTGACACTAATACAGTAATTAGTGCGAATACTAAAAACACTGTCATTGTACTGACACTGGCTGGGAAGGAGTTAAAGTGTTACTAAACCCACAACGGTAAAATCAGTCTGTATATGCAGTAAAGCATGCTTGCTATATGCACTGTGGAACCTAAGGGGTTAATCCTCTGCATTGTATAAAAAAACGCTGTTTGATCCGGTCTTCTCTGATCCTGCCCTTCTTCTATTGTCCCCCAATCCATCTGCTGATGGAACAGAGGTTTGTGGGCAAGCTGCACATGCTCAGTTTGTTGTAATATTGCTAGAGTTTTTTTTTTCTTGGGAGGGTGCAAGTAATCAGCACAGGGCCAATCAGCGCTAATCAGCGCTGTCCAGACAGAGTAAGGGGTCCTGCAGTCTCATAGGACAATCAGGGGAGAATGAAAACTCCTCCTACAAGCTTTAACCAGTGCTCTGCTGGACTCCGATAGAAGTCATAAGACTGCTACATACTGCTGATGAGAAAAGGTATTTTTCAGTTTATATTTACTAAAATAATAGCATTTCTATGTTCTGTGTACGGTGGGAGACCAGATAAAGTGAATGCTGGGTCCTGGGTTTAGTAACACTAACATCTAGGGGTGATCAAGGGATTAACTGCGTGCCTATCAATGTGTGTACTATGCGCTGTTTTTACCAAGTGATCCTGTTTTTTTGCCTGATTCGCTGCAAATAAAACAAACAGCAAGATTGCCTGTCAGTGTACAGAGCTCAGTGTTGTTTACCAACACAGAGCTCTCTTCTGTGAATCAAGGAGCCGATTAGCTGGTCGCGGCCAATCAAACATTGGCCTGGACCTGCTGATTGGCTTGTGCTGTAAAAAATCTGACCAAACAATCAGAAACAGACTTCATGAGGGTGCCTGAGGGCCCGACGTCCTCTAGTGGGCCCTGTGCTCACTGCCCAGCACCAAAGAACTTGATAGGCATTTGCCATTGAACACCAGAATTGGCAAGTCCACCTGGAGAAGCCGTGGAGAACGTTCTGCTGCCTGTAACATCGTTCAGCATGACTGTTTTGGTGGTGTGTCAGTGATGGTCTGGGGAGGCATATCCATGGAGGGACGCACAGACCTCTACAGGCTAGACAATGGCACCCTGACTGCCATTAGGTATATGGATGAAATCCTTGGACCCATTGCAGAGGTGTGGAAATTTTTTAAAAAACTACTTGTCCAGGGACTAAATCAGTGACCCAATCTACTTGTCCTGATGAAAAGAAAAAAAAAAAAAAAGCACATATTTAAATCTGAGGTGCTGTTAGGAATGGCTGGGTCTTTTAAAAACAAAAAGGGGCTTTATGGCAACTTATATGTTTAATTTTTTAACATTGTGCTGTTTATTACCTCCTCCCCTCCCAGTCTGTCTCCAGAACTGCACCTGGGTACTAGCAGGGAGGGGAAGAGACCTTGCAGTGTAATAAGCACCGATTGGCTGCTTGTCAGGAAAGGGGAGTGTCGGGCTTATCTTTTATCCCTTTTGCTGCCAGAGCCGTTTTTGCGTTTTTTTGTACAAGTTTAAAAAAAATCATTTTAGGCTTGAAAATTAAATAAAACCCCCAAACATTGTATAATACAATTTTCCTAAATCAGAGAACCTAGAGAATAAAATAGCAGTAGTTCCAATTTTCTATGTCGCATGATATTACCGGAAAGGCAATAAAAAATAAATTTTCCCCTCAGCCACTTCCTACTGTACCACTACCCCCTCCCTCCTAGATTGTAAGCTCGAAAGAGTAGGGCCCTCTTACCCCTCGTACGTTGTTTGTTATTGTTGTACTGTGCCATGTATTGTCCCCCCCCCCCCCCTATTGTAGAGCGCTGAGCAAACCCTTTGGCGCTATAAAAAAAAACTCGATGTAATAATAATAATAATAATAATAATAATAAATAAAATAAATTGCCCTATTCTTTGGTAAAATATAAAAGATGAGGTTCCACCAAGTAAATAGATATCCAAACATGTCAAACCTTAAATTTGCATGCACTCACGACATGGCGACAAACTTCAGTACCCTAGTTTTTTTTTTTTTTTTTTTTTAATAGGCCTTTTAAAGACCCTTATAGGTCATCCGTTTTAGTGTTCTGATGCTAGAATTATTGCTCTCATCTGTGAATGGGGACCTGGAAGTGACACAGCAGGGCTAAAGGTTGAAAAAAAAAAAAAAAAAAAAAAAAAAAAGCTATGTGCCCAACGCCCGGAACTACATGTCTCAGGTGTCGGACGATACAAATTCAACATCCCTGCATTGTCAGACCCTAGGCTGGTGCAGGGGGTCCTTGGTTCTCCTGGTGCAGTGGGTCCTGGGTTCTTCCTGGTGCATGACAATGCCCAGCCTCATGTAGCGACAGTATGCAGGCAGTTCCTGGAGGATGAAGGAATTGATACCATTGAATGGCCCCCACGCTCACCTGACCTAAATCCAATAGAACACCTCTGGGATGTCAGGTTTCGGTCCATCCGATGCCGCCAGGTTGCACCTCAGACTGTCCAGGAGCTCAGTGATGCCCTGGTCCAGATCTGGGAGGAAATCCCCCAGGACACCATCCGTCGTCTCATTAGGAGCATGCCCCGACATTACCAGGCATGTATACAAGCACATGGGGGCCATACAAACTACTGAGGACCATTGTGAGTTGCCGCAATGAACATTTCAGCAAAATGGACTAGCTGCTGCATCATTTTTTCACTTTGATTTTTGGGGTGTCTTTGAATTCAGTCCTCTGTAGGTTGATAATTTAGTTTCCATCAAACGATGGGGCGTCCTTACATTCCTAACACATTACCCCGTCCATGTCAGTATAGAGATCCAGCAGGAGATTCTTCCCCATTCTAAATCTGATGTGATTTCAATGTGTTCCTTGTTTTGGGGGGGGTGGACACAGGCACAATTTTGGTTCTGTTTGCCACCAGAATAAATTGAACTAAATCCAAATGAATTTAAAGTGCAGACTTTCATTTTTAAAAAAACTAACAGAAAAATAACTAGTTGTGGGACTCAACGGGAATAGGAAATTTGTAACTTTCAGCTTTAATTCAAGGGGTTGAACATAAATATCAAGTACAAATGTTAGGAACTGCAACCATTTTTTTATACACAGTCCATTTTCAGGGGCTCAAAATGTAATTGAACAAATGAATATCAAATAAAATGTTCATTTTTAATATTTTGTTGAGAATCCTTTACTGGCAATGACTGCCTGAAGTCTGGAACCCATGGACATTACCAAAGACTGGGTTTCCTCCTTTCTGATGCTTTGCCAGGCTCTATCTGCAGCTGTCTTCAGTTATTCTTTGTTTGTGGGCCTTTCTGCCTTTAGTTTCGCCTTCAGCAAGTGAAATGCATGCTCAATTGGGTTCAGATCAGGTGACTGACTCAGCCATTGCAGAATATTTCACTTTCCCTTCAGAAAGCTTCTGGGTTGCTTTTGCAGTGTGTTTTGGATCATTGTCCATCTGTACCGTGAAACGCCGTCCAATCAACTTTGCTGCATTTGGCTGAATCTGGGATGACAGTATATCTCTATACTCTGCAGAATTAATCTGGCTGCTTCTGTCACATCATCAATAAACACCAATGACCCAGTGCCCCTGGAAGCCATGCATGCCCATGCCATCACACTGCCTCCACCATGTTTTACAGAGGACGTTGTGTGCTTTGGATTATGAGCAGTTCCAAGCCTTCTCCACACTTTTTTCTTCCCATAATTCTGGTACAGAGTAATCATAGTTTCATCCGTCCAAAGAATGCTTTTCCAGAACTGGTCTGACTATTTTAGATGTTTTTTGGCAAAGTCTAATCTGGCTTTTCTATTCTTCAGGCTTATGAATGGTTTGCACTTTGTGGTGAACCCTCTGTATTTGCTCTCGTGAAGTCTTCTCTTGATTGTAGACTTTGACAATGATACGCCCACCTCCTGGAGAGTGTCCTTCATTGTCTGCATGTTGTGAATGAGTTTTTCTTTACCATAGAGAGGATCCTGCGATCATCCACCACTGTTGTGTTCTGTGGACACCCATGCCTTTTTATGCTGCTGAGCTCACCAGTGTAATCTTCTTTCCTCTGAATGTACCAAACTGGTGATTTTGCCACTCCTAATGTTGCTGCTATCTCTCTGATGCATTTGTTTCATTTTTGAAGCCTTACAATGGTCTGTTTCACTTGCATGGACAGCTCCTTTCAAACGCATGATGTAGGTTCACAGCAATAGATTCCAAATGCA